ATATATATATATATAGATACATATATATATATATATATATGTATATATATATATATACATATATACATATATATATATATATATAGATATATATATATGTATATATATATATATGTATATATACATATGTATATATATATGTATATGTATATATATATATGTATATATATATATGTATATACATATATATATATATATATATATATATATATATATATATATATATATATATATATATATATATATATATATATATATATATATATATATATATATATATATTTTTTTTTTTTTTTTTTTTTTTTTGTTCTGAACTGGGTCGACGCTTAACTCACAATCGAGCAGGTTCCAAACCCAACTGGATTTGAGCACAATAGGACCTCACGGACAGACAAAAGATCCGTGAGATTCGGTATTCCACCTCCTCGATAGCACGGAACAGTTACATTAGGGCGAAGATCACGTGTTGGTCTTCACGACGCCACGTCAGCCTTAACAGTTACCAACGTTGGGCCTGGCAGCCCAGCCCAACGCGTGGTAACGTTTGCCCTGCGCTGGAGGCTCATTATAAATACCATCTTCCACTAGAGGATCAGGTAACTTAACTTTCTCACTCTTCTCTCTTTACTTGTTATCACTCTGCTCGTCACTTACTTTGGCATCGGAGTGTGTTTCAGGTACACCCCCGCCCTCTGTCCATCAAGTCAACCATTCGACAGCTCAGACGCGTGGCAGTTCAGCGATCTCTCTAGTCAGGTACGATTAGTGGTGCCGTCTATGGGAAACTAAAGCTTCCCCGTTCCTCCGAGCAGAAGAACCAAAGCTTCACATTTTTAAATTTCAAAATCATGACTAACTCACGTCACGACGACGCTGTCCACAACTCCGCCCTCGTCCCAATCACCAACGGCGACGACTAGGCAACAATGCAAAAATTTTCCATATCCCCAAAAATCCACTTTCATTAACCCCAAAAACCCATAATTTTATCAAGTTTTCTACAGTTTAAAACCCACTTTCATTAACCCCCAAAACCCCATAATTTTTCCATATTCGTTTCATGACAGAACACAGCAACAATGCAAAATTTACACAAGATACATACACACATCAGTACACAAACACACGAATCAAATAACAATAATCCAAATACGAAATTAGGACAAGAAGGAGAAGAAATGCACAAAAACCTAAGAGGGGAAGGAATCTTCATTACCTTCACATAATTTTTCCAAAAACCCAATTTCGTCAACCCCCAAAAAACCCATAATTTTTCCATATCCGCTTCATGACAGAACACAACAACAATGCAAAATTTACACAAAATACATGCACATATCAGTACACAAAACACGAATCACAATAGCAATTATCCAAATACGAAATCGGAACAAGAAGGAGAAGAAATGCACATAAACCTAAGAGGGGAAGGAACTTTCACTACCCTCTCATGTTCAGACCACTATTAAGGAATCTCAGTCTCCCCCTTACTTGAATTACCAAGTTTTTCCTCTCTTCAACAATGGTAGAAAATCCTTGTTCCTCTTACCCTAAATTTGCTTCCTTCTATCTTTCTCTTTTACGTGAAAACTGATTTTTTTCCCTAATCTCTCCCCCACTATTTCCTAATTGTGGGTAATTTCCCTTAATTATACGTCTCGACATTTATGGTTGAATGAGTCGTCCATTCCGGTGATGTAGGGTGGTGAGGTGCGCAATGGAAAAAGGATTTTTGAAAACTCGTAACATGTCAGATCAATGCACACCATATCATATGCACATGCAATTAGGTGACCCATATCCAAAAAGCTAATCCATTTTGACTCTGGTGCTGGACCGCTCAAGCAAGGAACAAATGACTCATAAATTGCATCGAATTTTTCTTTATTTTCGTACAATCGGGTGTACGATTCCTTATGCGTCTTCAACTTTTGGATAAGTTGATGACAAATAATTATCTTCTCCTTTGCCAAGTAAAGCTAAAACAGCTCGGTAACCGCAATTACCATCTCCCTCAACATTAATGATACAATCGATATATTTGTGCATAAAAACCAACATCTCGTTAATGAATGGAATCTTTGGTGGAAGAGGAATCTCACCTTGATCCTTCAAAAGTGACTGACACACCTCTAATGCCCAAGTAAAATTTTTCTCTTTTTCATACTCTAAAAATGCAAAATCAACGGAATATGTATTCTCAGTTGATGTAACACCAATCATCTCAAATAATGGAAGTCGATATTTGTTGGTCTTGTAAGTAGAATCAAGTATGAACACTGTCAGAAACGTGTTGAACAACTTTATCGAATCCGGGTGAATTCAAAAAATATCTTTAACCGTAACTCCATCGTTGCAAGTTCGGTACTGAGACACGAAACTATCATCGTCCAACAGTTTCAACAATTGTTGCATCTCGGTTTTATCTCCCATAATCGCCTTGTTAGTGAGGTATTGAATGTTATAAACTTGTTTTATATTTGATATATTTTCGGTTTGCTTCTGTTTCAATGTTGCAAGTATATTTTTCGGTTGGACAAGATTCAAAGTCATGTCACTAATACATACTTTCTCTTCTGACTTGAGTCGGCATACACTAAGATGGCCGACAAATTTTAAGCACAATTCATGGTTATGCACACCACAAATGACATTAAATCTCCAATTTTTTCTAGCCAACATGTAACCACGAAGCTTAAACGAACACTCACATTTTCTATTACTCGTGTATTCTCTCAAAATTTCGGAGAGGAGTTTGATATTTTCCGCTTCTTTCGCGCAATATAGTCACCAAGGCGCTTCTTCTATCCGAGTCATTATCCGAACTTCCAATAACCACACTAAATCCAAGTCTAAATACCACCATATGAATCCATTCGAGCATGTTATCACGATTTTCAAACTCTTGCTTGTTATTAAATTCGTCGCGAACATCTACCGCCTTAACAACAACCCCTCGAGCATTCGAAGAAACGTCGTTTATAGAAACTACTTGTTTTGAGATATTATCAGGGTGCACCATATCTATTGGAAACAATACAAACACTAAAAAAATAGTAGACTACTGCAAAAAAGACTGGAAAATGAAAGGATATATATTTCAGAAATGTATCTCCAAAAAAGTTAATGTTCAACACGTTTCGGAGATACATCTTCGAACACATCATAAATTTTTTTAATCAAATTTCATAATTAATGTGATCAATGTAGATAAAAATAAACAATTTTTACCTGAAATTTAACTTTCTTTTACTCCCTGTGATATGTTTTACCCATAAGCTCATTGAAAATGTAGGATTTTTAGAGGAGGGTGAAAACAAGTATGACAACAAAGATAACTGAACATGCAACTGAAAAATATATCAGATATTTCCATAAATATATCTCCAGAATAATCTGATATTAGGGGTGTACGCGGGTTGGGTTGGACCGGGTTCGCCTTAACCCGTTACCCAACCCGTTCAACTTTCAATGGGTTGGGTTTATCATCAAACCCGTAATTCTACTTAAAAAACCGACCCGAATCAACCCGGATATTTACGGGTTGGGTAGGATTGGGTCCACGGGTTGTGTATATAATAATATTATTTTCAATTTAAAAAATCTATAACACAATTCAATATAATTTTGCATATTTCAAACAATTAAATTATTTACGTAGTGGAGACAAATCCTACATATAAAATAGAATAATTAAAAATATAACAATTAAAATTTTGAAATGTATTTTCTTTGTCATAAAAAATATTAAGATACATATACACCATTAATTATTTATATATTTTCATTAATATACATTAATTTATAAAAATTTATTAGTTATTTTGATACTCAAATGTTATCCATTACAAATATATATCAACATATGTAAAACAAATATATAATAATATACAGTATATATTAGTTGTTTTGATACTCAAATGTTACCTTTTCTAGCACATGCTTAAAAGTAGGTCCGTAAACTATCATATATATTAACACTTAATAATATATAAAATTCCATAAAATATCATTTCCATAAAATTCATAAATTCTAAATAAAATTCAAAAGCAAATAAACATCACTTAGTCTTAAAATGACATAGATGTATTGGTCCAATATTGGTCTAATAGCACCAAAATCTAACAGCAACTATAAAAGATTCCAGCACCAAATTTGTCTTTAGTTTAGTAAGTTTCTAATATATACTTAATTATTATTAGTTAATAAAGATTCATTAAAAAAATAAAAAGGCAGTAAAGTGTAAACTAGAAGTGCATAAGTCAAGCAAGCATGATTAATATTAATAATAATGTTTAATTATAATAATAATAATAATAATTTAATGTGTGATTGGAAACTGGAAGGAAAGTGCAAAAGATCTTTGTGTACGTTACAATTTACAAAGTTACAGCAACTTTAAAATTTATAAATAATAATAATAATAATTAAGGATTAGGTCGGGTTGAGTCAACGGGTTCATGGGTTTAGAAACTAAAACCCAATACCCGAACCAAATCTATACGGGTTGTTACGGATTAGGTCGGGTATACCTGTAAATGAATGAGTCCGGGTAATTAGTGGATTGGTTCGGTTTGAGTAGGCGGGTTTGCGGGTCGACCCGCACCCATGAACACCCCTATCTGACATACAAAAGTAAGAGAAAAATTCAAATTGTCACCAATATGTTCCAAAAATATATATATATCTGAAACATCCACTAAACTAATTAATTTTAACGTTTAGTTTAATTTGTTTCGGAGATATATCTCCGAAAACTATGGACATTATAAAAAATCCACATGATGTCTAAGAAACCCATGGAGTGTCTTAAAAAATTCTCTTTTATTTTCATTCACAATAATTCTGCTTACACTTTACTTAAAAAAATTTATAACTGAATTACTTAATATTTGTATACAAATACATCAAAAGACCAAACTTCTTCCTCAAGGGACGAGCTATAGAAATTGTTTCTGGTCGTGTTTTTGTCATATTAAAATTTGAGGTATAAAAAACGTCATAATGTCTGCGAGTTATCGGTCTGTTTTACACTTGACACGGTATCTTGCAGTTCTTGGCCCATGGTCTCAAACGGAAAGAACATGACACATATTCCTGAAACAAGAGCTACAATTTCAAACAGAAGGACAGCTATAGTTTGATGACATCCATGTACTAAACCCACTGCTACCAATGGACATAACATCCCACCAATTCTACCCACTGAGCTTGCCACTCCGACGCCAGTTGTTCTTACCGATGTAGGATATATCTGCAGTTCATACAAATCTTCCAAATGTTAACTTTCATTATCTATAAAAGGTATTAGATGAAAAACATGCTGTGAAATCATTCCTTATATAGTATAAATGTATACAAGAATGATTTCTAACTAATAACTGGTCAGCTTTCTTTTTTCCCTCTCATTTTCTGTTTGCGGTTTACTGAGCGTATAAAGTTTGCATTTGTTTTGACAAATCTTAAGGAGGAGTGCATCCATATTTACTTTATTTTCTCTAAGAGCACTATGTTACAACACTAACAGAGAACTAACTTAGTACGGAAATAATACAAATGCTAACGAGTTCGCTAAAAGCATTAGTTAAGGGATAAAAACAAAAATGTTTTCTAAAAAATACACCATTTGAAAATTTTAATTCGATATACTTTTCAAATAATACTCAGCATTATATGCTCTTGCAGCATATGTTAGCAAGCCCTTAAGATGATAGAATTCTCCTGAGTGACACAGGAGCCTCATATTTTAGTAGTCTTACTTACTGGATTGGACTTTTACCAGTTATTCTACAGTAGTACTAAGTATTCAACAACAGTATAAAATAGGTTTAGTTTCTTTTTACTGAAGAATACACGAGATTTCTCTCAAAAACTCTGTTTCAACCAGATCATTCAAAATCAAAATTATATTGCGTAAATACATTACCTCTGGGGCATAAATATAAACAACTGTGAAGGTTACTGTGATGCATATGCGAGCTCCAAATAAAAGGCTCGTTGTCAGGTATTCGGGCAGATAGAATGTTAATGGGAGAAGGAAAATACAACACATGAAGAACATGATTGACATTGATAGCTTGCGACCAAGTTTATCCACTGCTACGGCTGACAAGAGGAGCCCAGGTAGCTCTGTGTACAAAAGTATGCTTCAATCATGCATTTTCAGACCATGTATAGTAAAACAATTCTGAAATCAGTAGAAAACATACCTGCAAAACTAGCAATAAAAACACCTTTGTAACTAATATCCTGGGACTTCTCTGTCTGCAATTTATTTGGAATACATTTACTACGTGCGTTCAACTCAGAGGTCAGCAAAACAAGGCCATAATATGAAAAAGCATTACCGAAAAACACTGCCCATAATAGAAGGGTTGACCTTGCTAAATTGGGTGACAGTAGCACTTTAAGTGATGAGATACCACCAAAATTAGAACCCATTCCTTTAGGAGTTTCAACTTCATCATTTTTTCTTGGGGAGAGTAAAACTGTTTCTTCTGAAGGGTTGTCAATTTTTTGTAGCTCAATTTGATTGTCAGAAATAAGGGTACCGGAAGGAAGTTTTGTACCATTTAGTCTTGCTATTGTCTCCAAAACATTAATTGCTTCAGTTGTTCTACCTTTCAAGCATAGGTATCTCGGTGACTCTGGTGTCATTTTGTAAAACAGAAGAAGCAAGGAAGTGGGAAGGGAAGATAGTGCAAGAAGCCATCTCCAACCCAGTCTTGGCATCACAATCTGCAAGGAACATAGCATTAGGTGAACCCATCAACTCTATGATTGTCAGGTATGCAACAGGGTAGAAACTTCCAACTTAAAAAATTTGACAGAAAACTAGCAAAATTAGTAAAAGTTACTGACATATATTTCTTAAGAAAGACAAGTAAAGCAATAACAGTTTCTAGGCTACATGTTGAAAGTATATAATTCTTTAGCAATTGTATTTTCGTAATAAAAAGAAAAATTACAATTTGTGTAACGTTACACAGTACTTAGATCCGTTGGTAGTTACTTGTTGGCTACATATAGGAAGGAAGTGGTAAAATGCTTTTGGTAATCTATTTAGCCGTCTACAACTATATAAATTGAGGGATCCCAGTAAAACTATTTCTTGAATCAAGGAATGATAGGAAGTTAATAAGGAAATGATAAATAGCATCTGAAATTAAAACTAAATAAAATCAAGATCTAAGATATCTCCTGATTCTTCTACACTTAGTGCTTGAATCCTAGGTAAGTTCAAAATTTTAAATATAGGCTTTAAGAAAAGTCCTTGAATCCTAGGGAAGTTCAAAATTTAAAATATAGGCTTTAAGAAAATTCAAATTATACATAACTCTCAGCAACAAACGAAATAAATTAAAGTTATAGCTATGAGTTTAACTGCAAAGTGGCTGAGATCTGAATCAACACAGATCATCAAATTCATGGTTAACTTCAAAGCTATGAATGATAGATTTACATTGGAGGCAATGAATAAATGAATGGAGAAAATAGATTTACCCACGCAAGTGATGCCTCAAAAATGGTACCAATAGTCCAAAAAGCTGAAAAGATAACCATCCAGGTACCTCTATTGGGGGCAGGAACGAACTCTAGAAACCAGGAGGATAAGACAGGGCCGCCTCCCAAACCAAGACCGACGAGGGAACGGAAGAGGAGCAAGGAGAAATAGTTAGGAGAAAAAGCACTGAGAAAACCGGAGGTAGAAGTAACAATTGCGGTGATAAGGAAGCCTTTCCTCCTTCCATGTTGATCGGAAACAATGCCCCAGGAGTAAGCACCGATTAACATGCCGGCAAAAACAACACTCGTAATGAAGCTCTCTTGATGAGAAGAAAGATGCCAAGCAGATTGAACAGCGGGGCCAACGAAAGAGAGTAGCATCATTTCCATAGCTTCTGAAATCCAACCAATGCCAGCATAAACAAGAACGAGTAATTGAAATTTTCCAAAACCCAGAGTCACAAGAGCGTCGTCTACAGTGTAGTCGTCATCCCCCATCGTCTATAATTCATTCAATACACAATCAGAAATCGAAGACGGAATAATAAATAAATAAAAAGGAAAATGAAAGATAGATGGTAGTACCATATTGGGAAGATAGATCTGAAAAGTGGTGGATTTAGAAATTGAATCTGAAATATTCAACGTTGGTTCATTCGTATGGTTGACGACGACGACCGACACAATGATAGAGTCTCCTCGCCTGCAACCTTCTCTCTTCCTTCATTTCCTTTTACTACCTTCTATTGGTAATTTTGCATTCTATTCATGTGATTTACGTTGAATATTTCTTCTTTATTTTTACAATTAATTTTATTGCTTCTTTTCACTATAATACTAAAATACTAAAATGTTTCACTTTTTAGAATTCAGAATGGTTAAATAATTATTAACCAAAAAAAAATATTCGATTACTATTAGAAGAGAAAAAGTGAAATATTTTACTTTTATTATAAAAGAAATGATAATTATTAATAATAAGAAAAAAAAATCAAGCACTTGAATAAAAAAAAAGTAAAATGTTTTAGTTGAATAAAAACATGAATAACTGAACTTAAAAAATGTGATATAAATGTAGTGGAGGTAGAAATATTCTTCATTTGCGGGAAGAAGTGGAGTAATCTTTGGAATGTTTAGAATTTAAGTATAACATGTTTGTTGGGTAAATTTGAGTTTTTTTTAATGAGCAACATGTTTTGTGAGAGACACATGATATATTTATCAAAAATTTTAAGATAATAGATGTATGTGTTCTTTCATTTATAAAATGTTTAATCTACACTTTTTTAATCAATGTGGAATTTTTACCTCACACACTTGTTTTTCTCAATACTCTCCGTCAAATGTGATTCTTTCTACAATGTTATCCACAATGCTCACTCTCAAGAAAAAACTCTTTCATCCACATATACTTGTATCCTCGTTGGCACTATTTCAACGGAACATGCCTCTTATCCACCACCTTGTAGGAAAGACTTACAATACAAGTGAGTAAGTTATTTACTCGAACCAAATGCGCGTGATATCACTAACTACTACAAAAATAAATATATATACATAATATTAATAAATTAATTTGTTTACAAACTATATTGTTTACATAGAACATTAAAGTAAAAATGTTGAATCTGATTCATCGTCGCCCCTGTCGGTGAAGAACAAATATTGGATATCTTGGGGGAAGAGTAAATATTGGGGATCCTCGTTTCATTGATCTTGAGTAATATCAAATTGATAGATATGTTCATAACCTTGTGATTTTTATGAGTCAATAACCCATCAACTTGTATCTCTTAAACTCATATTAAAATTCAACCAGAGAATAAAAGCGGAAGCGTACCTGAGCTTGCCATTGGAGATCGTTGAAGGTTGTTAGGTATGTGATATTTCAATTGTAGAGTTCTTTATGACTCCTTGAATCTCCTCTGATTCGGATGGAGAGAGAACTTTTTCTAATGAGACATATTTTCTAATCACTATACAAATGGGGACTATAACCCCTATAGTTTTCAATATTCTAATTTGACCTCTCATTAAATTAGACATTGACTTATGGCATCTACACAATAATCTCATATTTCATGACATTTTTTCTTTTAGGCGTATACTTAATATTAATTAGACCACTATAGTTCTGTCTAATTAAATAATGACACTAACACATGCAATATTATATTTGTAACCCAAAAATTCTAACAGTTTCTCACTAGTCGCATATGTAACTTTACACATGTGTTAGACTTTATGAGTTCAAAATTTGTCATTATATTCTTTAAGCATATCCAAAGTATCTCGTCCGTAAGTCATGTCAGTATACAGAACCAAAGTGATTTTCGTTATTTGAATCATAACTAAACCCTTCAATGATCACTAATAGTGACACAACTACATGACATATATCTAACATGAAATATGCAACATGAAAATCACATGGAATTGGTTTGTATATGTCGATTTTTCACTGGTCCAACTTTACTTTAATGAAATTATTCAATAACTTTATTGTACAAAATGTAAACTACTGAATATCAAACTTTATTAATTGGAAAATATCTAAAATTATAGTATGCATACATAATACCTAACACAGAACATAAAATTCATAATTAACTAACTCTCAATAAACCAAAGACTCATCTAACGGTAAAACACTCATGCGAGCAGTGTGCTCATGATAGACCTTGAGTGGAAGACCTTTTGTAAAAAGGATCTGCTATCATGGAGTTTGTCCCCAAGTGTTCTATGGAAATTTGTCTACTTTGTACCCTTTCCTTAATAAATAGGAACTTGATATCAATATATTTTGACTTGGTCGAGCTCATATTATTGTTGGAATACAAAATGGCTGGTTTTTTGTCACATTATAACTTAAGTGGCATTTCAAATCCTTCAATAATTCTCAGCCTAGTGTCAAGATTCCTCATCCAAATGCCATGGTTGGATGCCTGATAATATGCCATAAACTATGCTGCCATGGTGGATGAAGTTGTAAGAGTTTGCTTAGTATTGCACCAAGAAACTGCACCACTAGCCAACATGTAGATATAGCCTAAAGTGTATTTTTTTACTGTCTTGGCATCTAACAAAATCTGAGTCAGAGTATCCAGTGATCTCTAACTGATATGAGCTCCTATATGTGAACATATAGTCTTTTGTTCTCTTTAAATACCTTGTAACCTTTTTGCAATATTCGAACGCATACACATTTGGGCATACATCATACTCCCTACTGCTGACACATAAAGAATATATTGCATTTCTTGAATTTCTAAGTTTCCTTTTTGACACTGACTGAGACTGAATTTGTCTCCCTTAGTAATTGGAGTATCTCTTGATTTACATTCCTGCATGTCAAACCTTTTAAGTACCTTTTCAATATAGCTTCTTTGTGATAATCCTAGAATACCTCGAGATCAGTTCCGATGTATTTAAATTTCTAATACAAAGGAGGCATCCCCGAGATATTTCATCTCGAATGTTCTTGATAGAAATTTATTAGTTTCGTGCATCATGCCTATATCATTGGCGACAAGCAATGTGTCATCAACATATAGGACCAGGAAAATGTATTTGCTTCCACTGAATTTGTGATACGCACAATCTTCAACAAGATTCACCTTAAAATCAAATGAGAGAATTACTTCATGAAACCTATGGTACCTTTGGCGAGATGTCTGTTTTAGTCCATAAATAGATTTTTTAAATTTGCAAACCATACTCTTTTAGCCCCCCGACACAAAGTTTTCTAGTTGCATCATATAAATCGTGTCATCAACGTTGTCATTGAGGAAAGTCTTCTTGACATTAATTTGGTGGAGTTTCAAATCATAATATGCAATAAGAGCCATGATTGTTCTAAAAGAGTCTTTAGATGCAACCGGGAGAAAGTCTCTTTAAAGGCAATCACTTCCTTTTGAGTATAACTCTTAGCCAGAAGACGAGCTTTATACATCTCCACATTATCGTCAGAGTTATGCTTGATCTTGAAAATTCATTTGCAACCAATAGGTTTCACACCTTCTAGTAACAGGACAAGTTCCTAAACTTTATTGTCTTGCATTGACTTTTACTCCTCCTTCATTGTTTCAATCCTCTTTTCTGAGTTAGAATCTTGCATGGCTTGACGGGAGTTGATTCGATTATCTTCCATCATACTATTATTTTCCTTATGTTCTTGGAGAAACGTCGTATAATCATCAGTAATAACATTTCTCCTTTCTCTAGTGGATCACCATAAAGGCATTGGTTATTGTAACACTTGTTCTAAAGGAATTTCAACAATGTCTTGTGGAGGTTATGTTCTTACTTAATCAAAAGCAACTCTATGAATTGGTTCTAGAATTGTTACCGATTCTTCCTCTTAAACAAATTCTATAACCTTATTATTCCTCCCAAACTCAATATCCTTAAAGAATGTGGTTGTTCCCATCTCAAAAATTGAATTTATTTTAGGATCGTAAAATTTATAGCCCCTAAATCTTTCAGAATAGCCAAGAATGTAACTGCTCACTGCTCGGGAGTCCAATTTCTTTTCATTTGTCCTATAAGTCCTTGCCTCAGCTGGACATCTCCGCACATGAAAATGTTTAAGACATGGGTTCTGCACAGTCCAAAGTTTATAAGGTGTTTTGGCAGTTGCTTTTGTTGGTGCTCAATTTAGAATATAAGCTACAGTCTTTGATGTGTCTCCCCATAGTGACTATTGCAAGGTAGAATGATAAATCGTACTCTTAACCATATCCTTAAAAGTTTGGTTTCGTCTTTCAGCAACACCATTCATGCTAGGAGATCCTAGCACGATATATTGTGGGCAATTCCATACTCCTCCAGGTATTTGGCAAAAGACCTTAGACGTTGTTCACTTGAACCGTCATATTTACCATAATATTCACCGCCACGGTCAGACTTGACTTTCTTAATTCTTTTGTTGAGTTGATTCTCAACTTCAATCTTAAATGATTTAAACAAAACTGATGATTGAGACTTTTCATCTATAAGAAATATGTACGCATATCTAAAGTAATCGTCTATGAATAATAAAATATTGTTGACCATTCCAAGAAGGTGTGAGAAATGGTCCACAAATGTCTGTATGTATTAATTCTAAGACATTTGTATCTATATATGCAATATATTCCTTTATTTTAGTTTGTTTACCTTTAACTCACTCAACACAAACATCAAAGTTGATGAAGTCAATGGAATTCAAAATTCCATCAGACATTAGTCGCTTAACTCTATTTTTAGAGGTGCTTGTGCCATAGTGCTCTTGAATTGTTATCATCGATTTTACGCTTAGTACCACGTGATTTCACATTTAAGGATTCACCGTAAGTAATTATTGTCTCAAGCAAATATAGATTATCATGCCCCATAAGTGAACCAGTTCCAACAATATCTGAATTGAAAGACAACTTGAACATGTTGTTTTCAAATGAACAAAAATAACCTGATTTGTCCAAATAAAAAACTGAAATTAAATTTCGTCTAAATGACGGAACCACAAAAATGTCTTTCAAATTCAAATAAAATTTGGTACACATCAATAATTTAAAATTCCATATAGTTTTCACCTCCACCGACTTGCC